GACTTCTCGAAGCAGACGTTCAGCCAAACTTCGTTGCACAGCTAAGCGGTCACAAAAATTTGAAAAGCCTCGACAGCTACCATTCAGCATCTCTGAAGCGACAGCGAGAAATGTCTGCTATCCTGAATCGTGAGCCAGGTACATCCGCTCAGTCCGAAGAAAACCAAGTGAGTACCTCCACTACAACACAGCAAAATGTCTTCACAGTCCAACAAATCCAGCCTCAGGCAATTTTCGCCGGAGGGCATATTGACAAGTTCGAAGGTTGCACATTTAACATCAACGTTTTCTGTGGTGGTCGGTCGAAGATCGCAAGGCTGAATGACAACTGATCGCTGAACGATCGAGGCACAAACAGGCATTACATACATTGCAGTTGCACTTTTGGTCACTTTTCATAAATTGTTCTTTCAACCACAAGCTTTTTCATTGAGCCTGTATGAAAATTTTGTCTTCATTCATTGACGAAGTTGTACAAAGCTGGACTTTGAACAGTTATTTTTGTCCCGTTTGGACTGAAAACCAGTGACAGAAGAAAGCCAGCTAAATGCTTGAGCCCGCGCAGGAAAGCAAATAAAATTATTTATGTTTTTGTTCCTTTGCTTTCTTGTTTGGCCATATAATAAACATCTTATTAACCGAGCTAGGTCGGTCTGTATGGGAGAATCTTGACCTCGGTCGCTGGTACAGACCTCACTGCGTTCGGTCTGTATTGGCGACCTCGGTCAAGATTCTCCCATACAGACCTCCCGCTCGGTTAATAAGAATTAATAACTGTTTGTTATTTGCAGGTTTGCTTCTGCCTTGTTTGTGTTAATGGCTACATGATGCATAGTTCTACAATTAATTATATTTGTATAGAGAGAGTAAATAATGAAATTATGAATATATGAAAATCATATATGTGAACTGCGCAGTGAAGAATTATTTGAAGGAGTTATATACGCAACTTATGCAGTTGCGAAAAGAAACCCTGAAAAAAATTCAGGCTTGTACCGGATATAATTGCGATGATCTTCCTTCAATAATTCTTCACTCCGTAGTTCACTTTCATATATTCATAATTTCATTATCATCCTTTCACGGGTTTTTAACGAACCAATTCAATGACCTGCTCCCAGTTGGCTTGTTAGCTTAATTGGTAGAGCGCTGCACAGGGACACCCAACAACTGTTTTCTGTAAAAGATCTGTCCGGAGAGGAAAATATTTCCTAGAATATTCTATTGCTTGAGAACAGCTAAGAAATTCTAGATGACCGTTCCATTCATGTACAATTTTGGAAGCTTATGTAATCAATTTCCTACAATTTTCTGAAGTTTAATTTTTCATATTTCACTCCCCAGGTAACGCCATTTTTCGCAGAAAAAAGAAACCTAAAATTTTCTGATTAAAAAATGTCATGGAGAGAGGAATCAGAAAAATTTTCACTTTCGTTAAAAGATAAATTGCATCTAAAATTTTCGGGAAAATCATACTGAAGTCCTTGTTATTTCGAAAAGGCTCAAGTTGCCCTAAGATGACCGAACACATACAAATGTTATATGGCGCCTTAGAATGCATTTCTACAGATGTAAAAGTACTCTAGATATATCCTAAAAAGTTTCTTTAAAGTACTTAAGGGTACACTGTCGTTGGGCACCCCTGGCCGCACCGGTATCGCAGAGGTCAACGGTTCGAATCCCGTACAAGCCTGAGTTTTTTTCAGGCTTTCTTTTCGCAACTGCATAAGTTGCGTACTATAGAACTGCGATGATCTTCCCTCAAACAAGAGAGTAGGCAATCATTACAAGCTTCAAAAGAAGACTGATAATCGTTTACACTTATGAATATACAGTCGACCTCCGATAACTCGAACCTTCAACGCTAAACGAGTTCGAGTTAACGGAAGTACGAAGCAAATAACCAGAAGTAAGGAAATGGGATAAGGGGGGAGGGGGGGGGGGCCATAGGAAAATTTTAGCTCTCCATCACAGAAGGGACGCGAAAACGAAATTCAAAATTTTTACCACAAAAGATGAAAATAAAAACAAGTAAGCAAATAACCAGAAGTAAGGAAATGGGATAAGGGGGGAGGGGGGGGGGGCGAATGCAAATATTATGCACTCCCTACCTCAAGGGCAGCGAAAGATATATTGATATTTTTGACAACTGAGGATATTATACAACAAAGCTGGATTAATCAGTACGAGCGCTAAGCATTGTATTTGAACTGGACTGACAAAAAAGTAAAGAAGCTAAAAGACGTTTACGTTTTTTTGGAGAGAAATTCAACTTTTTAGACTGCAGTTAACTGCGTTTTCCGGCCTGTCACACGCTCAAAACATGGTTCGAGGGTAAAATTGTGTAGAAATGATCTGAAGGGGAAACAAAAATTACTTCGAGTTAGCGGGAGGTTCCATTTATCGAGGGTTCGAGTTACCGGCAGTAAAATTACGTAAATGTATGAAGGAAATCAAGGGAAATGGAAGTCGTTTCGATTCAGCGCGAGGTTCGAGTTAGCGAGGGCCGGGGTCGAGTTACAAGATTCAACCGTATTACTTCAGGTACAATTTATAGCAGCTATTGATCTTTAAGAAGCGCGAAAGTCAAAGAACATACAACAAAGTGATCACAGCTATTTTAATAGGACTCAAGTCAGACTAGAACTTCCTGTTACTAAATGCAACACTTTCATCATTGAGGAAAAGTCCTGATGTGGTGGCGGGATTATTGTTAGCAAACAGTCGAGTATGCAGCAATGCCAATGATCAACAACAGGACAACAGCTCCACTGCCTATGCGTCCCTTGGAGTTTCGCTGTTGCTTTTCCTTGTCAACCCCACATCTTTCATCCGACAACTAACAACACAAAACATTTAAACAATAAGTTTTAAAAATGATAACAGGAAGAGGCCTAGAAGAGGGGCTATACCGTTACAAAAGCCACATACGTACTTGGCGGCACAAGGGGTATTGGTTTGCTGTCGACTATCATCTGATGCAACCGATTTGACGGTATCGGAACAATAAATACAAGTGCTCTCCTGTCTACTCTTTGAGACGTGAATAAGCACGAACCTTTGCAAATCCCAAGTCAATTTTGTGCTGAAGTCTTTACCGGTACACAAAAAATAATGCTTCATTAGAGAATTCAAACAAATGAATTCACTTATTTTTTTCCAAGCTTGCGAGTGGGTGGAATCTTCCAAATCCCGCAATCTGATTGGTTACGAGAGCGGGCGGTATTTTGCTATCTTGCCCGCTAACCCGGGTGGAATCGTTGGCAGCTTCATTGGCAAGTTTGTTGGTTTTTTTGTAAACGAGCAAAAACCGTCATTTTCAAACCATTTTTCTCTTAAACCTGGGGTTATCATTAGCATTAGCTAGGGAAAAGTAAATTTTATTATTCAGACAAAAAATCTGAAGGGAGAATCAAGTAAGTCGGCCAGGAAAACCGCTAAAGTAAAGGAAAACAGGTGGCTCGTGACGTCGCTAAGTACTGCAATCTTGCTTTTTTGCACAGTTTATTGGACATTTTTGCTCTGTTTGTAGTTTTGTTTTCCATTTTGCTGTATTAATCTAGATTTTGCCGTTTTTCATTGAATTTTGCCTCGCTAGTTTTCTACTTATCAGAAAATGTTATTGTCAATGATTTCATTTAACTTTCAATCTTAAATAAACAACACGAATCACTTTTCCAGCAGTCGGTTATCGCCGCTTTCATTTCTTTGTTTATAACTTGTTACTCACATCGCCTTCTTTTATTCGAATTCAATTCAAAACCTTAAAATTGGTATTTGTAACAGGGGCGGATCTAGGGGGAGGGTGCAGGGGATGCGCAACCCCCCCTGAGATGACCTGCGGTTTTCTAACACAACTGGTATTCTGCAAAAAAAAGACTATGTGGTTCATTGGTGTTGAAGTAGAGCAAGAGACGAGTGCACCCCTCCTAAAAAAAATCCTGGATCCGCCCCTGTGTAATTAGCTATTTTTATAAAGCTTTTGTGTAGTTTTTATCCCACTCGATTGAACTAATCTTAAAGCACTTTTTGAATTACTCTGCCGAAGAAAATCCTTACTATCTTTTTTTCCTGGCGCTTTTAATATCAAACTCGTCAATTCTTTTATCCTTGTTTGACACTCAGTCTTTTGCCAAAATAGTTGATACTTTCACTGTTTTGAATTTCATTGATCTGTCGATCTCCTCACAGAAACACAATATATTTCGCAATGTTAAACTAGACTATAGTACAAAGAGTGTAAGGAGGTTTTGGGAAGGGAAAAACATGACTTGTAAAAAATGGCCTATTGATTTTGATATTTTTTCCAGAAACGCGAAGAATGTGAGGCTTCGATGACATCGAGGATAACACCTAAAAATACTGTTTCTTTCACACATTCAATATAATTGTTGTCAATCTTAAATAGATATAGATCGAGTGTTTGCCTGCTCAAATTTGATTTTTTAAAGTTAATGGACAGCTTATTAGCTCGACACCACTGTGTTAATTTACACCTTTCAGAATTAAAGGTTTGAAGAGGTAAATTTAAATCTTTGTGGGAAAAAAATATGTCAACTTTGTATCATCAACAAAAAGAATAAAGTCCACGGCCTTTGACACATTGCACAGATCATTTATATGGAGCAGGAACAGCAGAGGGCCTAGTATAGAGCCCTGAGGTACCCCCCACTTTACTGGGCAAGACTCCGAAGGGATACCATTAAATTCCACATGAAAATGTCATCAGAAAGCACTAACAAGAATGATAATTTTTTGGGTGATTTTTGCAGTCATAGCATTAAACTTTGAAGTGGCCCAACAACTGCAAGTTTCAATCCATGTCCATCCAGACGACAAGAGACAATTTTAATGCCTAAATATAGTTGTAAATAACAAAACTGAGCCATGTTTTTTGAATTAACAGATGAGACGACGACTTTTATTTTTAAGAAACGTAGAAAACGGTGTGACATAGCTAGCCTCCCTAAACAATATACATTATATGTTTTAACCGGTGATACCTGTTTGACAGCATTTGCACTGCAACTGTGTAGGTCCCATTCTGCACGATGACGGTCCGTTGCGTTAGAGCACCTTTAAAAAATTACACCGTCAGTTGCATTGGATGTTTTAATCTATTCTATTTTTTTTATCTATTCTTAACTGGCAACGTTAATTTAGGACTGGTATAAAATATGGACTTTTGGAGGTTTAATTTAAATTATTTTCTTTTAAAAAAAGAGGTATTCATATATTCTAAATAGTTTGTTGTATAACCCTGGGAACATAAAGTTAGTAATATCTGTCTAACCCGGAAAGTCCCTTAAATAAAACAAAAATTTTCACATTTCCTGCTCCCACTTTTTCACAGTTCCCACTACGTTTCCCGATCACATGTTATTTACTTATTCATACATGGCTAAATTTGAGACGACGATGGAACATACATTTTTAGCGTTACTTTGAAATGCACTTCTATAAGAAATTAACAGCTTCCTGATGAAAGCTTCAGTTGATTTAATCTTTGTATAAACGATATATTCTTATTTCTAAAGTGCATTCCTACCTTTGTATTTGAGGACACCACTGGCATTCAAATTCTGTTGTTTGTTTCCGCTTTATACACTCTGTACAAGAGTTGGCACTAACACAGCCTGAAACCCAAATACATTTACAAAAAGTTTACTTTTGAGTCACAAACTACACACACAACCTGGAACCAAATGTTGACCTATATTATTAAATGACTGAGATACAAGACTACTTGTTAGGTTTGGAAACTGGGTCATTGCCCATATTGCCTTCAGTTGATGGTGGCCAGAAATTTCCCAAAGTTATGGCTTTATTTGAGCCTGTCACTGATCAGTTATGAATGTATTGGAATCAGTTAATAGACACCTTTTGATTCGAGGACAAAAACAAGTACGAGTGCGAGATTTGATTTAAAGTTTTTTCGCGCACTCTAAGGAAAGAGAAAACCGGGAATGTTTCATTTTACTATTTTTTTCCCAGAATAGCACTGTTATCTTGATTGGAAAAAGTTAAGCCCTCTCCCGATCGCAAAATGATAAAACTTCTAACACTGATTTGATAACTGGTTTCCTCCACCACGGCTTTCTCGCTTATACCCGTAGTAGAATGACGATTGCTATCACGTTTCCCCTCCAAAATGACGCTGTTTCACGCACAAGCACTACTTAGCATTAGGAGAAAATCTCGTCCTCATCTTAGAATCTAAAGGTCTCTAAAAGTAACTGAAAATGAACGAAATACTTTAATTAAGAGTGGCACTCTTAAGCTCATCCATCGACAACACTTACTAGTACTGTTCTTGGTAATACTTAAACACGCATTGAGATGTTTCACTCCATTCGCGCTGCACCCGTGTAGATCCCATTCTTGACGATGACGGTCAGAACCATCAGAGCACCTTCAAAACGAGGTCACACTAATTGACAGGTCATGGTCTGGCAATATGTCAAAAGTAATCTACACGGGATCTCTAGTTTGAAGTTTGATTTTCAAGTCTTAATAAGCAAAGATATCGTAGGCTAGGTCTGAAGGAAAGACTGTTTGGCGGTCTTAGCCGGCCCAGTTCAAACATGTACCAAACTTAATATCTATTTAATAGGTAGAAATCAGTAAACAAGTTGGACGGTTGGTTTAGACGTCGAAATTAACTAGTGAGACTCAATTCATTTTCACAATGTTCAATGGTTTATAATGCTAGCCAGTGATGAAAATTATTGTAATTAATGCAATAGGTTCGGCACATGAGAAGTGCGACGTACGCTTGAAACGAAGTCGCTCCCATGCTTGAGGGCCACTCGAGCCTAGTTTATGGTTCGAATCAAAATAGTATCGGTCTTAACTGAAAGGATTAGGGTTTCTACGTGACAAATTCGACTTTTGAACTGGGTCTTATCTTATTTTAAGAGAAGAGTATTCTACCGGTACAATATTAGAGATATGAAGTTTACGTAGGTAGCCTTCCAAGGGACGATCATAACCACAACAAAAACAATTGCACATCTGCCTTACTTTGCTCTGCAGTATTTTTTTATGCACTTTCTCTTCTTTTTGCATTTGTTTGTATCCTTTTCTTATTCACACCTTACTGTCCAATTTTGAGATGTCGCCCATCCTCAAAAAATTTTACTGAAAATGCAATTCTGTAGGTGATCGAGTGATGAAGGTTGAACCTCGCCACCCTCTGGGATATATTTAGATATGACTAAGTTGAAGAAACAAACAGCTTACTAATGAAAGCCTTACGGGAGAAAATGTTTGAGTTTCAATAAGAACAAAGCGTATTTTCGTCTACCTTTGTATTTGAGAACACCACTGGCATTCAAATTCTGTTGTTTGTTTCCGCTTTATACACTCTGTGCAAGAGTTGGCACTAACACAACCTGAAAACCAAATACATTAAAAGGGTTAAGTCACATGTCATTTATAAGAAGTTTTTGTCGTCTTAACTAAGACGCGTCTTATCTAAGAACAGGTGTTCACGGTTATTAGTAGATAAGACGTACGTTAGCTAAGACGAGCTAAGTCGATAAATGACCTTCCCGTCTTATTTAATACGCAAACGCACCCTACACATGCGTTGATTATTGGCGGGAAAATTTTTGGAGTGCTCCCCACCGCGGACTTGCAGAGAAAAATTTTGTTTATAGCAAATTACAACGCGTGTACGTCTCTCTGGGCTGCCATCTTCGAATTTTAATTTGTTTCCTCGCTCAAGAATTCAGTATGAGCACGCTGACAGAATGAAAGAGAAATGTTAAGTTTGGTCTGAGTGCCGAAGAAAAGAACTTTTTTTAGCTGTGCAAAGAAAAGAAAATTGCAGACCTCCGACAAATGTGTTACACATGCTGGCGTAAGTAGAAGCTACTTTATAGAGCGTAAGCAATCATTTCAATGAATAACTAAATTGTTATCTTCGTATAACAAACTTGCAATTCAACTTACAAAAACATCCAATGTTAGGTTGCCGTTGCTACGGGTAACGGGCATAGCCAGTCCCCGGGCCTACAAATTTTTGGTTTGATCACTCTACCGCTTGTGATAAATTATGCGTTGTTAGGGTGAGCTAAAAAACTTAAGAGTTCACAAAGGGTTGGTGGGTTCAGTGCGTACTAGTCATGCGTGCAATCTTCGGGATATGTGGAAATGAAAGTCAGCCAGGCCTACAGTACAACTAGTCGAAACGTCCCTGGGTAACATTCAGATGAAATTGAGTCCAGGACAGAAATAAGACGCGAACCATTTATAGGAGCTGCTTTCGTCTAAGTAAAGACATCCTCGTATAAATGGTAGAGTTTACGTCTTATTTAAGACGCGTTTTATGGTTTTATGTAAGACGCGTCTAATATTTTTCTCGTATAAATGGCCCTGTTGTCTAAAAGAAGTGAACAGGTCGATCACTGAACAATACACTCTTGCCACAACCGTATTCCCTGAACTTTCATCAGCAAAATTTTTATACATCATATCATAACTGATATGTATATTTTACTTGTACATGTTGTGCTATATAATTTATTAATTCATTGGGTTTTTAATAATCTAGAAAAGAACAAACTTGTTTGAGGGCGGAACTCCACTGCTGATCCATTAAGAACACAGTCCTTAGTAATGTGCACTTCGCTATATATATGAAAGACCCGGTACTTCATATTTGTCCTGCCCGTGCGGAGTGATTTTACAAATGCATCTGATATGCCAACTTTGACAGGATAGTATCTTACATCCGCAATGTCTGAAACATTGACTGGGATCTGTAACATGGTACTATGGTTAGTTATGATATCAACAAGCTTTTATATGAATGAATGAATGAATGAATGAATGAATGAATGAATGAATGAATGAATGAACATCTAAATACATTGTAGACGGACATTGGGTTCCGCAATGCAAGTGATGGTAAGTGTGATGACATTCAGTGAGCCACGTCTACCAATTTTTCGGTTCTCCCTAATTTGCTATTTAATTATAGACCGGCGTGACTAGCATCCCTATGTACTATATTTCCGTGGAATGAAGATGATGTGAACTGCGGAAATACAAATTTAAATGAATATATGATCGTCGCTATGGTAATTCCAATTTTTTCGGGTTGATATGCAATTGCCACTGCGACGATCATATTTTCATTTAAATTTGTATTTCCGCAATTAATATCATCTTCATTCCATTTACGGCTTAAGATGAACTCAAACCCAATGTATGAGTCTTCATAGCTCAGTCAGTAGAGCAGTGCAGCGCTAACGCAGAGACCATGGGTTCGAATCCCGTTGAAGTCCGCAAATTGTTTTAGGTTAATTTGCAATTGCGTAAAGTGCAATTACCATTACGACGATCATATCTTCATTTGTAAATGAAGATATGATCGTACTGTCTTTCCATCGCAAAAGATTCTCAGTTCCTGGTAATAAGGTATGAGGAACCGCTCTGGCCTGGATATTAAGAATCCTTACCTCTTTGTAAGCAAACCAGATTGTACCATTCTTATGCAAAGTGCACTGAAAGGTGAAGTGTCCATCTTAATCGGCGAAAAAAAGAAAATAGGACTGAATATTAGAATTAACCTGCAATCTGTAGGTCTCATTTTGGTGCAGATCACAAGGAATCAAAGAAAGAAAGAAAGTGATGCACTAAAATGGGTTTTGAACGGGTTACTCGTTGCCCATAAACTGAAAGAGAAGCCACATCTGCTGGGGCAGGACTCTCGCAGTTTCTATGGCAATAAAGATGTAGAAATAACGTGTTCTAAAAATGTTCACGCCGATTCAGGAAAAAACCGGAAGTTACATGCAAGCGAGGCCTAAGGGCCCTCATACTCAAAATGGCGACGTAGCAACAACATTCTTGCAAGCAAAATAAGACAAGTGCTACAGCCATATGAAATAATCGAAGTGAAAATCGGCTGGACCTCACCTATATACCAAAAAATTTTCATCACATCCTGAATCAAGTAGACAATGGGAAGAGGGGTGTCGTTGTTCAGAGCATTTTGTACCAAACGATTCTAGAATAAGTGTCACCGGACATAGAAAGGTCGACTTAAAAGCAGAAGGCATCCGTTACTGTTTCTGTTTGGTCTCAGCCAAATCAAGCGTTAAAGAAAAACGGGGACACAAGGAAAAGTATCCCGTGAGGAAGTAAAAAGGTCAGAAGAATCGTCATTGAGCGATAAAGCACAAGCTGTTAATTTATAGCAACGATCGAACAATTTGCCGAAGCAAAACGTTTAGGTGAAGTGGACATCCTTTAAAAGCAACTTTCTAAACTCAGAAAGAAGGAGAGAGTTTTTACGTTTGGTCTGGAACGCTTCTCGTACAACCCAGGTGATATTCACTTAGTCTACACTAGGTTTCCAGATTATGAAACTTGACTTTTATTGTAGCGTTTTTGAAGTATTGTAGAACCAAGCGTTTCCCATCTAACTTGTGTTATGAAAGTGTGAGAGATGCCACTCAAGTGAATACTGACAATGTTTTCCATTCATAAATACACCTGGAAAAAATATTTTTCGAATTTTTACTTTTTGGGGGAACGGAATGAATAAGGTATAATATCACACACTTAATTTTTGGTGTGCAAATATTTTATTCAGTTACAGGTTGAGACATGAAAGATTCTTCACATGTAGGATCAGAGTGAATAGGAGACCTGTGCTAACAATAACCCAAACTGACTTACTTGATTTGCAAAAACTAATTAAACTTGAAGTCATACCGCAGGCCAGACTTAAGCCTGGCCGGGGTATGCTAATTCTGGTAAAAGGTGTTGGTCAAAAAAGTTCTGAAGGTGTCCTAATTCGTCCTTCCATGATGCCATAATAAAAGGTACCTGTTAGTGAGACAATTTCTTGATGCTCCCTCGTACTACAAAATCACACAAATTTGTCTCTGCAACAAATGCTTGTTGTTGAATTTGGAAGTAATAAAGGTGGCTCTTGTTACTGATGCCATCTTTGTTACCAATCCCTTTTCTGACTAAAGCCATCTTTACATTTTATGTTCTTCACTTCAACTAACCCTAGGGGGTTCTCACAGCTTTAATCAGTTACAAGTCCATCGGCTGACACCCCCAAAAACCCATGGCTTTTAGAAACCAAAAATATGCAAGACTGGACTTTCAGTCCTTCATGGTCATTTTTGTTTATTTTTTCTTCGTACTGAGACAATGGCAAGTTCCTCATTTCCAATTCCACCTTTTATGGATTTTTTTGGCACACCCTTACTGTAACTTGAAACATCTTTAATAATTTTTGTAAGGAGAAGTATTAGCTTAATGTGGACAGGCCACTGTGACATTTGGATGCTGTTATTAATCTATGATCGAACCACTTTTGGGTGTTAGACTGACATCTGGTCTCAGCTTCATTTTTTAAATTTCCTTTTCTTCACTGATTAGTTCTTTTTTTGATCGCTGAATATTTGTCACGTATTTGATCCATGCTGAAGGCCTGATCTATCAAATGAAGTGGGTTCAAGTTCAGGTCAATTACAGTATCTGTATTGTTGACTGTGTTCAATTGGCTCATTAAGACAAGATTATATATTTTTTTAGATCTTGTAATTGATTTGTGGCCGCATCAACTATTCTCCGCATTATCTGCTGTGTTTGTTAAATTGACTTGAGACACTGTTGTATTTGTTACACATGGATTTTGTTGGAGAACAGAAGTATATGTACTATAATTGTATGTAGAAGAAACACAGGGGCACCCAACGAGAATATAGTTCAAAACCACTTAAACATAGCATTATTAAATGTATTTTAGTAGTTAAACGGTAGACATAGGCATATTTTTATCCCCTAAAAAAAAAAATTATAGGGATCAAAACTTACCTTTTTCGAAAATTTTAGCCAGAAAATAGGCTCCCGAAAATTCTAGGTGAACTTTTTAGGGTAAAAATTAGTTAAAAATGGGCAAGTATACAATTTTTTATTTGTTCGAAAATTCTAGGAGAGGCATGGAAGCAAGAAATTTTACAACAAATGTTCCGAAAATTCTAGATCTCAAATCGTCTTCCGAACAGATATTTTTCCCTAAAATTGTCGTTGGGTGCCCCTGGAAACAGATTTGAGTACTGAAAATCTTTCATTTGCATTTATAGAGCAGTTCCTTTAGCAGCAATTTCAATTAGGGAATTCACAAGTACTATATCAGAAGCATTGGGATTCTACTTTTGAAAGGGGACACCTTTGTTAACTCTGACAATGTTCACTTTGAGTTTTTCAACAGCCTAGGGGTCTAACTTTCTCAATTTTAAAGGACGAGGATCATAAAAAGTAGACAACGCGCCTGGAATTCCCCATTTTCGTGGCGAAGAAGAGCAAGGAACGTCATTCTCGCATTGATTTTTCATTTCATTGTTCCGTGACATTTCATCCATATAACTGCCATGACATGGCAACTGCAGCCGCTCCTACCAGCAGGACATAATAAATCACACGCGGCCGGTGTAAGTTTGGGTTTTCCGACTGGATTAAAAATCATACTTACTTTATATTTTACACAATAGTTTTCTGTAGGAGGCCCAACACAAAGCCGTAACGTAAAAAACGTCGTTATCAACAGGTTTAGATTCTTCATGATCAAGATAATGCATGTACAACATTTCCGCAGTGGCATACGTAGAGAGAGATTTTTTTAAACTAATTTTGCCGCATTCCTTAAGGGTGACCTAGGGTATCGGTCAGTGGAACAACTCTGAGTTGACACGGTGTGAAGCTTATCTTGTGGCACGGTATCCAACTAACTTTTTTAATTTTCCTGGATTTGGGCTAATTTCGCCCTGGTGAAGCATTTGCCCGGGTCAGGATCATAAACGTTATCTCTGTTTTCAGGCATGTTCTTGACGTCTCTATGGGCCAGAAAACAAATGAAGATATCGAATCTTTCAGTCGGTTTATAAAGTTATAAAATTATTCCAACTTAAGCTTAACTTTCGTAAAGGACTTTCTTGTTACCGCCTTTAGTTTATTCTTCTACATTTTTCCTAGAATTTTACCTAGTTTATCGTAAATTTGACATCTTCAATATTTACTTGCTTCATCTTGAAACTTTTTCGACAACAAATTTGTTTTTGCCGCCATTGCGCCACGAAGGCCGAAGGGCCCTTAGAACTCGCTTCCCTGCAACTTCCGGTTTTTTCCTGAATCGGCGTATTGAAGCTTGCCTTGAAAGAACGGCTTGGAAACTAAAATTTGATAGCATTTTGTTTTGAATAAGGGTATGGGCATGATTTTCAGTTGAACATGCCTAGCGAGCGTAAAAATCGCATCCAGTCTGAGGATTAATGAGAGAGGGAACATTTTATATATTTAAGCATGACAAAATTCAAGGGAACATTGGTACTTAGAAATAACATCTCATAGGCATGGAAAAAATTGGTTCATGCCCTCGCAGCCCAAAATTGACCCAGCTAAACTTAGGTCCCAGATCTCTCGCCGGGTTAATAATTCATTCCCAGTTTTAGCTCCTCTGGTTTGGCATGCCGGGCATGCCGATGGTGAAGCCAGTTGGTTTGGCATGCCCGGCATGCCAGGCAAGAAATTGGCATGCCCAGCGAGACTGATTTTGATGTTCGCTTCAGCATCATATCCTGAGAATCACATATAATCGCCAAATATATCTTAGGGAGCTTGAAGTTACAGGTTTCATGCCTGGCAATAAATGCAGATTATAACAAAAAAAGTCATGTTTGTCACAATGTGTGTCACGGGATCGACTGGCAAAACTGAAGACAGAAGCCTGGATTTATAAATAAAAAGCACAACAAAACAACATTATTCATACATAAAATAGAATACTTAACTTGCAATCAAAGATTAATCCTTTTATTTCAAACCGATACTGACATTTCTGGGTCCACATTTAAATTTGATCGCGGAAAAGCGTCTTAAACAATAAGATAACAAATCTTCTCAGTATAAACTTATCCATGCTTAAGTTTTATCGTGTCGGAATGTTTCCCGGTCAACAGCATTAAAAGACTGGTGAAAATGAAGCTTACCAGGTCGTTCAAGTCAGTACGAGAGTACGACGTTAATACTGCAAAGACGTTCTGATTTGGTGAATTTGGACTGCCTTCTCAGAGAGATTTTGCTTAGTTTTTCAGTGCGCTCCTTGTCGGCTATGCGAATCTCGCAAACTGTTTTACTCCTTGCTGACGATAGTCCTTTGAGCAACGTCATCTGCGTCATCCGAAGATACCCCGAGCACGCACGAAATCGGCCGAATTTCCGCAGAAGTGTTTTCGCGGATGACGAGGAATCTAGTTTGTTGTAGCGTGGCAGTTGTGGCGTCACGATGTCGTCATGTCTCTTCGCACTTGTTTGTCTTTTTTTTCTGCGGTGCATGGTTGAGATGTTGGTGAATGCTGGACAAGAAATGGATTCTGCGAGAGACTGTAAGTACAAATTTAGTATTAATTTGGTAAAGAAAAAGCCTGAATATCGAACAAATCCCGTGAATTATCCTTTTGGCATTCAGTTTATCTTGCTGTTGAGCATGCCTAAGAACTCCGGCATAAGTGGTTGTCAACTTGTTCACTTCGGATTGTTTCTGTTTGTATGTCTTGTAATCTTCTTCTGCTGCTAAGAAGACTAGAGAAAACTTCAAAAATAAGAAACCAAAGCTAAAAAAAGTCAGTTCTAATTTTATAGCTCGAGTATAATTATTTTTGGCACCTACGGTCATATTTTTCCACTGTACTGGTAAAGTTACTTATTTTTGCTGCATAGTTTGACTGTTGTTTGAAAGACAATCAAACGGATATTACAATCACTTTTGGAGACAAAATAAAATATCCGTAAATCAAATGCCAAAATCAGATTTGGATTTCGCTTTAAAAAAATGAACATGCTGCGCGTGTCAATGCAAAGTTGTAAACAACTCAATATAAGCAGTCTGTGAATGTGCGTTTAGGTCCACAAAACTAATTTTTCTTTTGGACATCTCATCCAAGCAAAGACTTAAGGCTTACATTGCTTGTCTACGAGTGTACTACAAAATGCTTTGCTACAGTAAGCCTCTGAGAGGCGATTCTGGTAAATTTATAGGACGCTAAAATGCAAATAATTCTAAGCTTAAACAACCTGGCTGGGTCCGACTTTTGAATTACAAAATGTTCAGGTTTGCCGGCTCTACTTTAAATGAACATGGTTTTTGAAATGATTTTGTAATATTTTAACCCGAAAATTATGATTGGGTTATAAAGCTTTTAAAACGGACGAAAACTAAGCTAATAAACATGTTCAATGTAAAAAACTAAGATTTAGTCGCTTTTTCAACTTTGCTTTGTGGGCCGAAAAATTTACCTTTACGCAAAAACAAAAGCAAATAATGAGGCTTTTATTGGACATATTTTCTGAGAATTTTATCTGATCAATTTAATGTCACTAGCATTGTTTTCGTATAGGAATTTTCCTAATTAAATGAGCTTTTAATTTAATAATTTTGATACTCTATAAACTTCTCATTTGATAGCCTCACTTTTTTATACACCGATTGAGAAACAAATTCGCTCTCGTTAAATCCTATTTTATGACCTATTTATTAGAACTCTAGGTAACATACGAAATGATGTAACCGGACAGGCTTTAACCTTTGGTCCTAATTTATTTTTTCTTCGCAACCCCTAATCAGTTGACGGGCCGTGAAAGAATATCGCCACAAAAAGATGCGAAAAAGTTTTCGCTGAGTTTCCTTTACATATTCCGGCTTTATATGGGTCTACACCCCAATTGCCTGCTTAAAAATGAAACTGTTGTTCAATTAAGTGTCAGTCAAACTCGGTATAATCTTGACTTGCAAATCCAAATGCAAAGGTTTATTTCGCAGTAGAAAAGCGTGTAAACATCATCGAACAGCGCAATGTAAATTGGCTAATGTGAAACCACGTTTCTTTCACTTTATTTACCATGTATTTATCTCAATTGCACACTCTTGTGAAATTAGCCTCAGACAATTAGTTGCGACCTTTAACAGACTCAACAAGCCAGTATGAAAATATGTTAAGAGAAGCTGAGCTCTACATGTTCTATTTCTTTTTTTCATATTGCCCTTGCATGTGTTAAGATTCCATTTCTTTTTTGTTACAGGTAACTTCCAGACATGACGAGGAGATAATTACTTTTCTAGAGAGCAATCCTTTGATACCGTCAGTTATTACTGACTTACTTTGAGTTAAAAACGAAGAACACAGACACTGGTAATGACAAAAAAACATTAATCCCTGGCAAGCCTACAAAACAAGAAAGAGGAACTCAGACTCCTTATCAAAATGTGAAACAAGATAAAAAGAGCTTTTCTAACGTAGGGAAAATTGCGTTCGAGAGATTTGTAATTGCAACGTTATATTCAAGCACATTGCATTGTCAAACATCATAATTTACTGAATAATGAACAGTGATTTTGGGGCTTAGCTCAGTTTGTAATGAACTTTGAAAGATATTCTATAACCTTGTATTTTTAAAAGCTTTCATGGAACATAGATGCATTTTATTATACAATGAAAATAGTCTCTGTCTCTCTTTTTACTGATTTCAGTCAATTCCATTTTATTCGCAATGTGAAATGGGAATCCTATTAAAGACTCATTAAAAGGGGTGAGGAGTTTTTACAATCCCCCAACAGGTCATCTCCACGATGACGCTGTTTTATTACTTCGGCAGAATCCCTCAGGGTTTTACTTTCTTGTGAAAATTAGAGCTTTTGTTATTTAAACTTCGCTGGGACAACCAAATCTATGAAAATGAAAGGAATAGCAATGACGTCATCGTGTAACCGTACATCAAAAGATAAGCACTGTGATCTGTTTTTTTTTTTTTTTTTTTAGCCAGGCTTAAAATATCTGTAGATTCAAGGAATTATAACCTGTGCGTTGAAACATGCCAGAGACCGATTTTGGCATGCCCGGCATGACCCAGATTATGGCACGCCCGGCATTCCAGAGAATTTAGCATGCCGGGCATGTCAGAAAATTTGGCATGCCCGGCATGCCGGGGATTTTGCTGGGTATGAATTACTTATTACTAGAACCTAGGCTTCTCGCGGCCTGGGTGAGAAGGTCACAGAACCTCAAATTATGCTTACAGGGCATGCGAAATTCTGTTGCATGCCAATTTCAATGCAAAACCACTCTGGGGCCACCCCCTCTATTACCAGTGAGCAAATCATTGACGATAGGCATGGGAAAAATCCTTGCATGCTAACCAACATTGAAAACGTAACAGAAATGTCCTCAATTGCTGAGTCATGCCCTAGGGGAGGCTTTAAAGTACAGAATTTCCTGACATGGATGAGGGAATTTTCCGTAAACAGCATGTGATCATGCCGGCTAGGACGTATTGCCTCCGTATTGCCCCTTTTTACAGCTAGCTAGGCTCATTTTTAGGTTCCATGGCCTGAAATGACGAAAAATTCATGCCTTAAATGTAAAAAGTCTAAAAACGTCCTCGAAATTTTAGTTTCCAAGCCGTTAAAGTGAAGGAAAACGCACAGATGTCGTAGTTACAGATAAGCCTGACAAAATGAAAGAGATCAACGTAATCGAGGTGCAGTGACCGAGTTAGGGGTATAGGACAGATGCGGAAGACCGCGAAACCATGCAGAACACAACCGTTGGAACAGAAACTAGAAAGAGACACGCGGGTGTTAAAGTTAATAAAAAAAAATTGTGGTGGATATCCTTGGAGGATACAGAATGAGACTGCGAGAGCAGCCACCGTTCTCGGTAAAACTTATGTCGGTAAAACTTATGTAAAAACGTGTGTTTCTTCGTATATCCCACTTCAACATTCTGGATATAAATAATAAATACGCAATATTTTCTGTTTAACATTACCCTGAGTTCTATCAAGAAGATAAACTCTTGACCACTGCACTGTCAGCTGTGAACCTGAAACAACGGATAATAAGAAAAACTAACGCCTTCAACTTAGGCAATGTTCTCACTGCAACTGAAAGCTTTTCATGCTGATTCGAAAAGTTATCCGTTAAAATATGAACAGCAACAGCACAGAATTGGAAAAAGTCTCGAACATCGTGCCCGAGTGGTTAGCCGAGAGGGTATAAGTTGGAGATAATAGAACTAAATAACGGTCCTTACTTCTGAATATTTACTTCCGTCTCAGTGGATTACAGTCCTTGCTCTTACTAATTCACTTCCGCTACGGCCCAAATGACTTTTCACATTGCACCAAAGTGTGGCAAAGAACGTATCCGACATGTGATGATCCTGTTTCGAGGATCGGCGAGACGCAGCTTCGCTCCGTTGCAGAAAGCGCGCCGAAATCGTCATTCTAATGTGTGAACAGGATGGTTTTCGGAACAGTTTTCGTGCCGGCGGAAGAGCTATCTGTTATAATGTGAACATAGCCTAAGAGCTAGTAATATAGTACCGTATCAACCCTACATGAACATGTATGCAACAGTGACTGATGTTTAGTTGAATACCGTAAAATTCCGAAAATAAGCCCCGGTACTTATATTTTTCAAAGGCCCTTTTGGAGGGGTTATTTTTGGAGGGGCTTATATTCGGAGGGGCTTATCTACGGAGGGACATTTGCGTTTCAAAATCTAGTCTTACAGTTGGAACTAAATTTACCGTTTTTGCTTTGTTTTACTTTGTATTTGAGGGCAATTTTCCAAGTACAAGCCCCCGGGGGGGCTTATATTTGGAGGGGCGATTTAACGGCGGGTTTTTTTGCGTTACCGGTTTTGGGGGCTTATATTTGGAGGGGCTTATACATGGAGGGGCTTATTTTCGGAATTTTACGGTATCACAACAATTTTACTTTGAATTTATAGACAGTAAATCGCAAAATGCACGATCTAGAGTATCACGCATTCTGTGCCGTTGGTTGTGTTAAATTTATAATTCGAGGGTGGTTTAAGGTCATCCTCCTAATGCAAGTTTTTGTTTAGGTAAGCGATAAATTATGTTTCTCAACCGCTGTCAAAATACAGGCACAAAAGAAAATTTAATGCAGCCAATCAAAAACAAGACCGCTGCAGCCACCCTCTATAAATTTTGAATCTAACACTCCCAAAGTCACAGTCGCTGATGATTGATGAGTGGGTGAAACTCTAATATTTGTTTCACGATTTTCTATCCTTACATTTCTATCGCATTCGGCATGCTCTTGTATAAATATAAATATAAATATAAACATAAATATAATTATAAATATAAATATAAATATAAATATAAACATAAATATTTCATACCATCATCAAGTGAGGTGACTTGTGAATCTGGATGATGATCAAGACTGAAGTAAGCCGTGAGGGGAGCTACGTATTGAACATCTGTGATAAGAGAGGTGTTATACACATCCATGTACAGGAAACCTTCAAGGAGAAACATTCAGATACTTAGTAACTACATTACTCAAGTGCAAATTACGAAGAAATAATTAGGTACAAAGTAATTCAATTATTGATTTGTTAAATAAATCACTTGTAGTTACCTCCTGTTGTTAATAGCACACTCTCAAGATAATGGCCATAGTATGGAAATTTAAAATTCAGCTTTAGTGTCTGAAAAGAAAAAAATTACGTTCAACCTCATAAGGAATAAGACCATACAAGAACATAAATGGCTAGGGAAAATGAAAACTCACCAGCCACTATGGTCACCAAAACAAATGAGGGAATCCGGATTCCTAAATCGGGGAAATTTTTGTTTGTGGATTCCGGAATCCTGGGCTTTGGAATCCAGAATACAGCTCAAGGAATTGGGAATCTCACTAACGATTGAAATTCAGAATCCCAAGTTCCACAGACAAAAACTGAAATCCAGTACCCGGCATCCAGAATCCACGTTGTGGAATCCAGAATCCCTTTCATGGGATGTCTTGACTGATAATAATTCTCAAGACTGATCTCCATAATATACATTTCCTTTTAAAAAGTATTTTGTTTAATTTAATTTTTAAGATGATGTTTGATATCGTTAGGAGAAAATTCATGTTGATACTATAAAAGGTTTGTTGGGTGGAGAAATTGCAGATAACTGTAACATTACAGGTCTTTTCTTTCTCTAGAAATTCTTGAAATTGTTACGTTTGTAACCCAATACTTGTCTGGGAATAAATTTTTCAAGTAATGGGTAACAAACAACTTATCAGAGAGTCAGTCTCACAAGGACAATTCTTTTTTGTTGAACAGTTTTCCGAAAGATACCCCTCACCTACCGTTTTCACATAGACCATATTGCACCTTGTGTACCCCACAAATTTTCCATAACCATTGTCTTCGATTTCCCTTGAGACTGTAATACCCAAAATTTGGGGGTAAACAAGGTGCATTATGGTCTATGTGAAAATGGTGAATAGCCGGCGTATTCACGTAGGAAAAGTTGAAAATGTTGGATGGTGTGTAACAAGCTGTTGCAACTGAATTCACCGGAGCGGATAAAAAAAATGAATGAGTTGACAGTTATGAATATATATGAAGCAGGTTATAATCACAGCCAGCCGTGACCACTTAGTCCTGACCTTCGGAAGTTAAGAGAATCAACGTCCAGTAGTCATTATATAAATACCATCTCCTGCTGGCAAAGACGATGATTTTGAAAGTCCTGGTCCTGCCATTACAACCTATTCGGCAGCTGTTGAGTTTATAAGTTTGCCGAAAGGAGTTGGAGGGAGGCTTCGGCTTGTCTCACATTATGCAAACAGTTTAATCCAGGAGGCCTTCGGTCTGACTGTCTGATTATTATTAGGATGAAAGTTCTCAGGACTGATCTCCATATTATTCCCTCAAAGAATTAGTAGTAGAGAGAATTTGATAAAAGATCAAAGCATTTTCCCTCTGGTAATCATGATCATTTTATTACTTCTCATAACTTTTTCTCTTAATAATGTTTTGCTATTGTCAGGGGAAAATTGATATTGGCAGTCTTGGAACTTGAAGGGTTAAATCTTATTTTTCTTACCTTTTTTTTAAAGCGGCCCTTAGAAAGATCAGCATGAACAATTTTATTGGGATTTCCCTCAATATTTCTCCAAAATTTTTGGCCACTGATAAACGTTTGTGAAACATAATATCTATGGTTGATCTGAAAAGAAAATTGTGAGAAACAAGACTTGGTGAGTATGAACAAAAAGGAATTTGGACCCCATTTTAAAAAGTATTTTGGCATTCATCAGGCTCAGAATGCTCCGTTCAAGAAATAGCCAAACGTTTGATACCCACGGTCGACTTTGACGTCTCAGACGTGAAATACGTCTAGACGACGTTAACCAACACAATAAAAACGGCCAATATGTGTCAATGGGAAAACGTCACTGCCACGCACACCATGCATAAAATGTTAGTTTTTTTTACGTCAGCCACCTCTAAATTGGAGGCTTTCTGGCAAATTCAGTTCTGGTGCTGATTCCAATTCTGGCAATTATGCAAGTTGCGTTGCATGATCGTTTGCATTATGCAGGTCATGTGACTGCGAGCTGCCGAGCGGTCCTCTTGATATCCTGTTCCAGGTGTTCAGATAGTAGAGCGTGGATTTAGTAGGTGGGGAGGGAGTTAAATCGTACGCGGCGATGAAAACGAGAGGAAAAAAAATAAGGGAAGAATGGACTCTCTAGTCCGCCCTGTTTTTTTTTTTCGTCCTCAATTTTTCGCCCCCGCTCTACTATCTTAAATCCTGGAACAGGCTATGCTCTTATGAGTACCAGTTGGTTAGATGATTTCTAAATACCAGAATCTCCAAGAGAGAAGGTAAGTATGTGTATAATAGGGAATCATGACAGATTAACTGACCTTTTTGGTGCAGTTACCATTTGTATTCGAACTAGTTGCATTTTCCAGTACATTTCTCTTGGCTCGGTGAACATGAAGCCTGTCAATAAATGTGTTTTCTGAATTTCTTCTACCATATTGAATATGACCAAATGCTGGTGAATAATTAAATGAGAAGAATTGTAAATTGCATAACAATTTAATGATTAACACGCTGCAGTGTTCTAAGGAGCCCAAAAGCTCTGAACAGCCTATGAATGAAACCTAAGGTGTCAGGAACGTTCGGTTTGTTATGTTAGAAAAAAACTACAGTACTGTGAAAGATTTATTGCCACCTGTAGTCGGTCGCGCATAAGCTAGCCTAGAGCACAATGCCAAGTTATTTTTTCATTCCTTTATTGATTAGTTTTATTACTGTGTTTTTCAAGTCTGGTTTCGAGACTAAATACAACTACAAAAGTACAAATAAATACTGTAGATATAACATACAATAAATTTATAGTACTTATGAAAATTTTTCATAAACAAAATTTTCAAAATTTGCGGCCATTGGTACGAAATTCAGCTGTGAAGTTTTTTTTGAATTTTGAAACCGAATAGCTCTAAGGTAGAACGAGCCACCAGTTCGAATTTCCGGGACAAGTAATTCTAATGTTTGCTTATTCTTAAAACAAACTAAGGCGATTGCTAATCGTGCTATTCTTTAAAACGTGCTTTTCAGTTTTAGAAGCACTATAAATTGCTCCAAAGCATGCTCTGAATTCGAATGACTTGCTGTAACGCCTGCTTTATACATTTTAACGAATTCCAATGCACCTTCATGAGAATTTACTACTGTGCGTTCCTTCCAATTCAAGAAATAGGTATTGGCATTAGTCTTGTACGAGTCAGGTAGAACTGTCGACCACCTTTGTTACGACCATCCATTAACGAAAGAAGTCACGAAATTTTCATGGAGTTATAAATTTATACACGAATGTTATTGTCGCCATTATTTATCGACCACCCGAATCGAAGTTAAATGAATTTCTGTCTGACTTGGATCTAGTAATGGGAAAAATTTCCAAAGAAAATAAGCTTGTATTTTTAATGGGCGACTGGAATTTATATCTAATTAACCACTATTGTCATAAAGCGATAAGTGATTTCTTAGATTTGTTTTCACTAATTACACGTTCCACCTCACTAGAATTACGGCTAACAAAGCTTCGTTGATAGATTACATTGTGAACGATCCACTTCGTCTCTCAATAAGCGGTCTCAGTTTTCTTAGTGACATATCTGACCATTTACAGATATTTTCACTTATTTTGTATAATAATAGTACTAGTGATAAGGATAAAGGAAATAGCTAATTTCTTTTGCAAATATTTTGCTAACATTGGCCCCAATTTAGCTAGCAAAATTCCTGTATCAGAAAAGTCGCATAATTCTTTTTTAACTCCAAAATTAGACAATTAATTATTTCTAGATGCTGCAGTTGAGCAAGAAAATATTGAAATATGTAATACTTGCCGTTCAGGTACTGCTGTAGGTTATGAGAACATTTCTAATATATAGATTTAGCTAGGGCTAAAAGCGAAGCTCCCGTTAATAAATTCATAATTTAAATCAAACAATAAACTTGTAATCCACAGATCAGGGTACATTCATTTGACGTTTGAGGCAAAGTGATTTTAGAGAAAAATAATTTGACAGTCTAAGAGTGAAACAGCTTTTACAACGAGTTATTAAATAGTCTTATTTGTACACCCAAAAATAGCAATCATGTTCGATCACAGTAGATTAGGCCTGGAAAACAAATAGACCTACCTATTCGTGTATTGTATTTGCATTAGCTGTTGCATCATAATGTGGCATTCACCACTCTCTCCAACATTGCTCCGTTTGAGAGACTATGGATAATTGGACAACCCCGAAATATAATTTTAAGAAACACACGCGCCACGATAGTCCTTGGTGGCAGCCAATTTACACGTTGCATTCCTCTGTCTAAAAGAGAGGCCAAAATAAAAAATCAGGCCGGATTTTTTGTGTTCGACAAGTTTAGTTTACTAGTAAATCTTGGCGACGAATCTGGTGGCGTGTAAACCAGCCTTTTAAACATACTTTTTCTCATCACGTCTCAGGTAAACAGTACTATGAGGCCCTTGTTTTTATCATACAGACCTCGGACAGAATTTGTTCTTTTTTGCCCTATTTAAACCTATAATTCTGCAGTTTTTCACAATTTTGCAAGAGAATTTGCACTCATTCAATATCCACGACGATCAAAGCACGCGCTTCCTTTGCACAACAAATTATGGCATTGAATTATAAAACGTTTTCATGAAGAGAATTCTATAATGCCAGGACTTTCAGTTAGAAAAATCTGGTCCTATGTGATATGCAGGGTAATATGGGCTTTTAATGAAAACGATAAAAAAATTCCCAAAATCACTTTTCGGCCAGCCGGACGGGGCTCACTTTTGACAGGCACCAAATTTGCAGTGCGATTAATAGAGTTACCATTTACGCTTCAACATGATAGATAAATTGTTATGTTTAGGTTTTATTTCCCTTTATTTATTAAACTGCGTATGGTTTTGTTATGTGTAATCTTTAAAAGCGAGTGATATTTACGCGCGGCGTTTTGAGTATTCCTGCATGAGATGTTTATGTTCGACTGGATACAACCGGTGCAGCGATAAAAATTGCGAGAGGGACTACTAACAATCAATAAAATAAATATAATTCGGTGAAACATGTACAGAGACAATAATTTTCATTCACGAAGAGAAGTATTGAGAGTAAAGTGTCTTTGAAAATCATGAGTCAGGTAAGCATAAGCTTATTTATGTTTTAAGCCGGCTTCCCGGTGTTTGCTCTTTTTCAAGATGAACTCGAGGCAAGAAAATCGCTCAGAGCTTTCTGTTTACAGCCAAAATCATAAGTAAATAATCTTCGGAACATTTTCTTTGAATTTGCGGTCAAAAAATGTCTAAAGGCTTTTTAAACCTCATACTATTGTAGGTTAGATCATTGCTCGTGTATAAACTTAAGCCGCATAAACCATACGCTCGACTTCAGGAAACCAAAAAAAAAAACACATCAAAGACAACAATTTCTCAGGCTTACCAGTCGAGATGCTGCTTCTGAAGGTCATCAAGTGTTCCAGAATTTTCAACCCTCTTACGCCTCAAGCAAGGGCAAGTGAGTAAGCTCATTTTTGAAAACGATGCCATCCGAAATCGGATTTCCAATGACTTTGACAAGCGGTGCATTTGTCAACAAAAAGCGCAATAAACAAACCAGCCATGAATTACAGAACAATCTTGATAGCAGCTGTATTTCGTTTTGTACACCAAGTAGAAAAAGCCAGTTTAAAACATCACAAGATGACACAAAACTCTGTAAGCTCCAGCTATCAGTAAGCAAGTTTCCAGACGCTGCATAAATTTTCCGCATGAACTCACCTGTCAAATTTTGACCAATCAGAACATAAAAATTGGACGTAGAGCGTGATCAACGCGTGACAGTGAGAAAAGTCAAAAGTGATTGCCTTCCCCGCATGTAAATGTAAAAGCCGGTTGAATTTTCGCGTCCGAGGTCAGTTCGAAATCAACATTTTAAAAGTGCGGCTCATGAACTCGACTTATTTCATATGCTTTTTAAAAAAATTGAACTTGAGCCTGCGATAATTGAAAAGTAGCAACCTGTCAGCGGATACGTTAAAAAAACACTCGAACTCAGTGGGTCGATACCTGAGCCCGCGATAGGGTCAGGCGATACTGGTCAGCAGAAACACTATTTTGACAGCTGTCAATTAATCAAAACATGGATGTACAATATCAGGTTGCAGGCTCCCAAACTAGCTAGAAAGTGTGAGATTAAACATTGGTATACCTGTGGTGCGGACGGACGGAAGGTCGGGTGGTCGGTGTACGGTCACGTGATTGCCGAATTTTCTAAGATGGATCGATTTTCTAAGCTATGGGACTTCGAATTGAGCCCGTGATCAAATAAAATATCAGCGCAAAACTTTAAACACTACGTGACCTCAATAGATAGACAAATGAGCCCGCGATACACTCAGGTGATGATGGTCAGCGCATACTCTAGTTTGACAGCTGTCAATTAAAAATGGCGAATATTCGAATTAACAGACTACGAGTGTGTGTATCTTGAATTGGTAAGTGTGACATATTATATCAGCTTATATGTAGGGGCAAAACGACTGGTCTTTCACCTGAGCCCGCGAGATAGTTGTGATAATTGTCAGCGGATGCCTAATTTTGACAGCTGTCAATCTAATCGTACTCATACGGATAGCTTACATAACTAAGAGGCTAGTCAAGTTGTGCAAGATCTATTGTGACATTTGACGTCGGCTTACATGAAGCGTGTGTACGGGTGGGCGGGCGGGCGTACGCTACGTCATAACCAAATTTTCTCAGATGGATAGTTTACCAAATTTTCTTACCCATGGTGCTCCGCTCTGCGCGCGCTTCGCGCGCGCGAGGAGCTCCGCTATAATAACTCAACTAGGGTATCTAAAAGATAGTAATGCTGCGGCACATTCTGTTGATACTGGCATTAGTTAGGCAGTGAGACTTAAAAGAATCAAAAATGACATTGAATGTCCTATTTACATGTTGGAAAGTACTAGAATAATTACTATCAGTCTATAGAAAGAACTCGTGGGAACGTTGTTTAGAAAATGATCAAGTGGTTATCAACTCTGGTTTTCCCACAGTAAATTGTAGGAAATAATAGAAATTCAGATCGTTTATCCATATATTTAATACACGGTGCACGATATTTTCTCTGGAAACACAATACTTTTCTTGGTGTTTGTTGCACTTTATTAAGTAACCGTTATTTAGCTATATATTTATAGAAAACAACAACACAAAAAACGGGAAAAAAAGAAAGAAGAAATGAATAACTCAATAGGATTCGATCCCGGCACCTTCGACTCGACGGGACTACACTTAACCACTACACCACAGTGACTGATTACGTAGTCTCTCGGAAAAGTCTTTCATTTTATTCCTTTTCCATGAAACTTCCGCCGGCAAGATGATCGCCAGCCGCATTAACCGAGCTATTAACAGTGAAAAAAACAATGTAAACGCATATTCCATGGTAATAAATGAATGAAAGAACATAATGATGCTTTTCAAAACGCCGATACACATCCTCGTCTGCAAAGTAGGACACAAAACATATGTTTTGTTATCTCGATTCCCGCTGTTATTTTGAAGCGAATGGCCAAAATCACATCCATTTTCGGCTCATGTAGTTTCTTAAGAATAGCATTGCATGACATTTTCTCACTTTCACATCACCTTCTAGCAAGCTGGAATTTGAATATCCTCCGTGTTGCTGAGTCGAAGAGCAAAAAAGGCTCTTGAATTGAAATCCAATCCCCAAGTTAACCATCGTACTTCATCTGAAAGACTCCTGCGTGTCTTAAAATTTGGTAAGACCTCTAACCGTGCCGTAGAAAATTTGCCACAAAGAAAACTCTAAGTCTGAGCAGCGAACGATGCACTCTCTCACCCACCGAACTTCCCCGTGTTTTTATTTGAGTTGTTCGTGGCGCAATGCACTCTGGTTAAATGCAATGCATTGTGGTAAAAAGTGTGGTTAAATGCAATGCATTGTGGTAAAAAGTGATGAATTCGAGAATTCGTTGCCCCTTATATATTTCCTTTAAATCCTGATTATGTTGCTGCTCGCTCCCTTCGGTCGCTCCGCAGCAATTAAAGAATCTATTGATACAATTATTTTACCGGTTACATACATAATTAACTCCTTCAACTTTGGCATTGTACCAAAACAATTAAAAAATGCTTGAGTTATTCCTTTATTCAAATCTGGTGAGCGGGATATATTTACAAATTACCGACCCGTGTCTGTTTTACCAGCATTCTCTAAAATTCTAGAGAGAGTAATGTACAAGCGTCTTTTAAGGTTTGTTAATAATAACAACATTCTCTCCGACAATCAATATTGTTTTCGCAAGCATCACTCCACTGCTTATTCCCTTGCTTGTTTATATGGAAATAAATTGAAAATAAGGAATACACAGCTGGTATTTTTATAGACTTGTCTAAAGCCTTTGACATCGTTGATCATAACGTGTTAATTTCAAAATTAGAGCATTATGGTGTTCGAGGCACTGCACTTAGATGGTTCAAAAGCTATCTAAGCAATAGACAAAAACATTTGGAATTTAATGGTATCAGTTCAGAGTCTTGCAAAATAAAGTAGGGGTGCCTCAGGTCTCTTAACTAGACCCCCTGCTCTTTCTTCTCTAAATGATCTCTGCAATGTGCCAAAGTTCGCTGACTTATTCTTTTTGCTGATGACGCAAACATATTTTTTCCCACAACGATTTCTTGCTGAATTCTGAAATGCTGAAATTAACACAATGGTCTCGAGCAAATAAGCTGTCCATTAACTTTAAACAATCGATTTTTATGGTTTTTAGGCCTCGCCAAAGGAGACAAACACTTATATATATCTGGTCAAATTAACAACAATGCTATTGAACGTGTGAAACAAACAGTATTTTGAGGTGTTATCCTCGATGAGCATTTGTCATGGAAGACTCGTATTCTTACCGTTTCTAAAAAAAAATATCAAAATCAATAGGTATTATTTATAAATCATGACAAGTTTTTGCCTTCCCAAAACGTCCTCACACTCTTTGTACTATAGTCTACAGCAGTTTAAAAAAAATAGACTGATATGTCGATTCCCACACTGAGTCGGATTATTATTCTGCAAAAGAAGATAATGATAGTATTATCTATTGAAGTTATTTTTGATTCTCATAACGGTGTTCTTTTTAAAGAGTAGAAGATCTTAAAATTCTCGGACATTTATTTATACCAAATAGGTAAATTTATGTATCTTTTTAATGTATCTAATTATTTTCTTGATATGTTTACTCTTCCAAGCCAGATACATTTGCGCATAACACAAGAACTTTCCAGCCTTTTTAATCAGTACCTCATTGTCGAACTAATTTTCGAAAATTCTCAATTTCGGTTTTTTCAACTCGCTAAGTCGTGAAATTCAAATTTCTCTTTTCTTTTAAAATTAAATCCAAATTTTCTTTAAGTACCCTTAACTTGCGCGGTTTACCCTATAGTTCCAGGAAGCCTATAGTTTATGAGCCCTCGGCTTCTATATAGGCTTCCTTGTCATTACCACTTTAAACATTTAATTTTGTTAATAATTTAGTTAGAATAGTGTATATCATCTTTTTAAAAATGTATTCTAATGTACTATGTGCAGTAGTTAATGGCAAAAATAAATGAATAAATGAATGAATGAATGAATGAATGAATGAATGAATGAATGAAAATTCATTTGGCATAATTATAATTATACATTGTTTCAATGAAAGCCGTTTCCTGAAATTTCAGTTAAAAATATCGGCAAAATGTTTTTTTAGCTAGATGGGATTTTCTTTGAACAGTAGGGTCCACTTAAGCACTAATTTCGTAAAAAATATTTTCCGCCAGTAAAATCAGATTATTTCATGTTATCGCTGAATGAGATCTGAAGTTCTTTTCAAAGTTTCGTAGCCACAGCGTCAAAACCAAAGAAGTTATGACGAAAAGTTCCTCATAGCTCAATGCACCTGTATTAATGTCGGGGCCATCTTAAGTGCGAGGGAATCGGAGTGGCAAGAATCTGAACATATCCATTTTCGTCCTATTTCCGGGTTATGACTGACTGGCTTCGGTCTTGAACTTCCGCTTGCCACCCCGACAATCTGGTATTCACTGTATCTCAAACTGACGGGATAAAAAAAACGCTGTTGTTCATATTTGCTCCATTTAGTATTTTGGATAAAATGCAGCCACATGAGTGTGACTTCTACGTCAGTTATTTTCAAACAGAAAAGGCATTACAGTGAAACCTCTTTTAAACGGACCCCCAATTAAGCGGACGCAAAGCCGGGTCCCGAAATTAACATCTTATATTTCCCTTTATAACGGACCCAAATAGATCGTTTTCAGTCACGTGGTCAGCAGCTTTGCAAATTGCTTGGAATAAAAGAAAGTTTTAACATGCGAAAAGAGTTCAATACCCACAGGATTTTTTTTTTGTACACAAACATGGTCGCCGAGTCTTTTTTTATTCACAAATATGGCCGCCGAGTCATTGTTTTATTCACAAATATGGCCGCCGTTACGTCCTGTGAAAGCGATCTATAATTGTAATTGGCTAATTTCTATTGTTAAAAACCTTTATTTAGCGGACACCGCACTTACAATCGGCAGTATTGGATAACGTCCTTGAAATACCTACTCTAGTCTATTAATAAAGATAACTCAATACATTTAGCAATAGCTATCTTTAAACTACTGCATGAGAAATTTCTGCAGTTTGATTGGCTTAGAAAAGTGGCGTTTCAGCTGAAATTAAAATACCTTCATGTGAAAATCACAAACCTTTCGCGGGTAGTAGTATAAACAAATAATAGCATGATTTGTACCTGATATTTGGCATAAATACCACGAGTGATATTTCAAAATTGTCTCAATTCTCTCAAATTACGTATAACAATTTTGCAATATCACTCGTAGTATTTATGCCAAATATCACTACAAATCATGCTACTACCTAGACATATATAATATAGATTGTTATTATTCAAATATTAACAAACAGATACACTTCAATGCATCCAATACATTTTGTTGTTTTGATGGTTGCTAGTGTTTCATATTAAAACAAAATTATCCTGTTATTTATTGTTGAAAATTCCATTTCTAATATAGTTGAGAAAATGTTATATGTGAGGTATTGGACTCCGTCTAATGCCATTATAATACGGAGTGCCAGATGGTTAATGATTGACTATGCTTGAAAGACGTTTATCCGACATATCAGTTTAGTTCGCCTTTGTACTGTTCACACGTTCCTTTTTCCTACCCGTTCCTACCCGCGGGCAGCATCAGGGGGCGGGGGGGGGAGGCCTTATTCGGCCCCTGCGCCTTTGCTCTCCCTTGATGCGGCTCTGCTCATAGCGGCAAACAATAAAGTTTTATTTATGGTACATGTATGTATCACCTTTACTTATCACCAGCGTAGGATTATTTCTTATATTACTTAAAGTTTTATAAAAATATTTTGAAATACATTTTATATCTGAAGAGGGAGATTTTTAAGTATAATTATTTCTGATAGCAATATCATTGCTAATGATGACTGTGTAGAAAGCAAGCCACTATTATTTATGTTTTGTTGTATGAAGAAATATCAAACAGTTGTTTTGAAACAAAAGTATTGAACCACAAATTAAGAATTTTTAATTATCTTTATCTTGAGGCATTGTTTTATGTTACCTTTTCCCCCCTTATGCCATGCTTTTAATAACCTTAACTGCTATGCATATCGCTTTCTCTTCAAGAATTTTTTTTTTACGTATCACCGCTCGCAGGATTTTTTTTTAGACAAGTTTCCCTTACAGGAAATCTTTTTTTGGGAATTGTCTCATCACCTCCGGTTGTTTCTAATGGCCCGTCCCTTTTTTTGGTGCTTGTAACTGCACTCCTGGCTAAGTTAATTTGAAAGATGGCATAACATAACGAGACTAGTAACTCGTGGAATATAAGGAAACGCTTTTAGTCTTGTGACAAGTGGGTTGTAATGAAAAAGCCAACAACATTTTTAGAACATTTAGGAAGAGGAATCGTGTACTCACCTTTGCATTCTAGATGAAAATATGGGAGAAAAGCTCCGAAGCACAGAACTACAATCATGAACTTCATCATGAACTTCATCATGAACTTCATCTTGCCCGGTCTCTTTTAACCCTGATTGGCTCATGTAGTATTTATTCTCTCTCTCTCTCTCTCTCTCTCTTTTTTTTTTTGTAGCATATTATAATTTTCCATTTTTATATTGTAGTTTTTTAACAGGTGCAGAGCCACTAGGTGGATACACTGTTAATAAACCATTATTATTATTATTTTTTTATTATTATTATTATTGTGTGTTCAAAATAAAAGCGGGCAGTTTTTGTAAGCACTATCTTTCTTGCAATCGCTTTGCTAGGAAACAATTAGTTCGAGTTCGTTTTTTGGAAAATTCTGTTCACTTTTTTATGACCATGGCTTTCGTTAACCCTAAACCCTAACCCTAAGTCTTGTAGTTTCACGCACCGTTAGTCAGTTAATTATGCGAGTTCAGAAGCCCACAGTTGAATACAAATTACCCCTACAGTAAGAAACCCAAGCGAACACCTTGACGTATTATTGTAGCAACGCAAATCAATGAAAAACTGAACAAGGATCAACTGAAACACGCGACTAATAATCAAAATCAATAAAACCAGACACCAGATACTGTTTTAAAAACTTTGTTAAAAACCAAAACAAACAAAGAGAGTGAAATACACAGTGTTTTGAAAGGAATGAAAAGAAAGTAATCATCATATTCTTCGCCCATGGAGTACTTGTAAGGTTTGACTCGAAATTTCTTATGTCGATTTTTTTTCCTCTGTTTGATAATTCTATCTCAAGGAAACAACTTACTATTGAAGTCTCAGCGTTTCACGCGTCGTTAGTCAGTTAATTATGCGAGTTAATAAGCCCACCGTTGTTAAAAATTAGTTCAGCTCTGCCGTAAAAACCCCTCGAAGTATTATTATGAAAACACACAAAAAAATAGTAACTTAACAGCTATAAAACTTGATCCATTTTATAGAACCCCGAATAACTTTGGGATATCGTTAACAGCATTAAGTTGTGAAACCTTAAATGCTGTTTTGAATAATAATAATAATAATAATAATAATAATGATAATAATAATAACTAGAGGATAAGCAAGTACTGGAAGCCGCAGCAAAGACATACTTGCAGAGGCTATCAATCATCTGGTCCAGCCCACTGTCAGATCATGCAAAGTAGTGGCGTCCAATCAGTACGCTTTACCAGTACTTACATACTTGATGTGGACATAAACTTGGCCGATAGCAATACAACTCAACCTCGTCCCCAGGACGGTGCATTAACCTGCAAGGAAGCTGCACTTATAACGTCGTCGGTTGATTAATCGCAAAATTCTTCCAAATTTGTTCATCAGCAGCTGGTTATGGTGAATCATGCATATGCTTTTAGCCAATCAGAATCTGGGAATGTTTGAATGAATAATATTGGGGCTTAAGGGAACGACTTGCATCACTTGACCTAGATATTTGACACTTCCAGAAAAGGTCAGGCATCGCAAGACTCTAACCAAGGGGCTTCCTTGGGATTACAAAATAAGTATCGGTGCTTTGTCCTCTAAGTGAGTTGGACACACTGAGGTCTAGGACTGGCCTCGGGCTCAGTTTGCGCTTCAAAAAGTCACGTGACAAGTATTTTCATCCGCACTGCAACGCTCTAAGGTGACTAGCTATACGCTGCTATGTATATTGAATTAAGAAAATTTCGCACTTAGTCTTTAGTTTCAAAATTCGCCATCCCCTTTCTTCATGTTTTGCGCTTTGGCTTAACATAGAGCTCTGCAGGGCTTGTAACAAATAGCCTACCTATCTAAGTCCTTATCTTTTCCTTCGGTTGACACAAAACTTTCCAATATTACTCTTACTGTAAATTATCGTTGGTTTGCAGAGTTGAAAGGGTTTCAGGATTACGCCTTAGCCTGCGTGGCAGGCGCCTAAGAAATATAGTGTGCGAGATATGTGATGCGCGCGAGGAAGGCGGTGACGCGCGTGGAGAGAGGTGTGCCTAAACTGAGCATATTGGAAAACCTTGTAAAAGAAAGGTTGTTTTACTTGGCTCTGGGCTACCCAGAGAGAATAAGAATAATCCAGGGTCAAGTAAGTGTAATCCAAGAACAATTTCGGGGTTATTAACTAGGGTTTCTAAAAGATAGTAATGCTGCGGTACATTCTGTTGATACTATCATCATCGGCCCGACGCGACTACACCTAACCACTACACCACAGAGACTGACTACGTCATCTTGGGAAAAGTCTTTAATTTAATGCCTTTTCCATGAAACTTCTGCCGGCAAGATGATCGCCAGCCGCATTAATCGAGCTTTTAACAGTAAAAAAACAATGTAAACGCATATTCCATGGCAATGAATGAATGAAAGAACACAATTATGCTTTTCAAAACGCCGATACACGTCCTCGTCTGCAACGTTGGACACAAAACATATGTTTTGTTATCTCGATTTCCGCTGTTATTTTGAGGCGAATGGTCAAAATCACATCCATTTTCGGCTCATACAGGTTCTTAAGAATAGCATGGCATGACATTCTCTCACTTTCACATCACCTTCTAGCAAGCTGGAATTTGTATATCCCCCGTGTTGCGAAGTCGAAGAGCAAATGCCCATCTTCTCATCAGGTTTAACACCTGGAATAGTCAAAGGCTCTTGAATTGAAATCCAATCCCCAAGTTACTCATCTGAAAGACTCCTGCGTGTCTTAAATTTGGTAAGACCTCTAACCGTGCTGTAGAAAATTTGCTACAAAGAGAACTCAGAGTCTGGGCAGCGAGCGATGCGAACTTCCCCGTGTTTTTATTTGAGTTGTTCGTGGCGCAATGCACTCTGGTTAAATGCAATGCATTGTGGTAAAAAGTGTGGTTAAATGCAATACATTGTGGTAAAAAGTGATGACTTCGAGAATTCGTCTCCCCTTATATATTTCCCTTAAATCCTGATTAGGTTGCTGCTCGCTCCCTACGGTCGCTCCGCAGCAATAGTTCGTTGAAAGAGTTACTGAGCCTCGATGGCATAAAAAAATAATAACCCCTTATCGTTTAGTCCTCCCTAGTACTAGTGGTAAGCGCAGATCATTTGGGGGCAGTTTGTTCTGGATGTGTTTGTTTCGTGGCAGCCGAAAACAAGTGTCGTTGAGGTTTGGCAAGAAAGCGAGTAGTTAACACTTAAGAGCTCTCAAAAAGAAGGATATAAAAATTTTTGTTCTAATGCAAGGGAGTGTTCAGATGGTCAAGTACAAGTTTAAGCTACTTTTTTCCCTCCTTGACATTTCTCTTGGCTACTATTTTAGTATTCCGGAGCCGGTGAGGTACGCGAACGACGAAAAAGATCACTACCTAAGCAGAACAGAATAATTTTAACATAGAAATCCCGGGCGCAAAAGCAAGCAGTTTCTCCTCAAATATCCAATTGCGTTTAAGTGTAAAGTTCCTTAGTCTTTGAGTTTTGGTTTACAATGGCAATGGCACTGACTTGGAACTGAAATTGGCCAATAGATGTTCTGGAAATTTGTCCCATATACATTCCTCTACCCAACCCCCCCCCCCACACACACACACCCTCTCCCAAATCCCCGCTTCTGTGTAGCGTTTCAAGTTGGAATGATCGTGCCGTGCGCGAATTCATTATCCGCAGGATCAGGCATAACTAAGCCGCCGTGTCAAGTTAGCAGTTTTCGATATTAAATATTGACTTTCACTCTCGGACACTGATTCGGATATTAGCTTCCTTGTAATATGTTTGGCTACATTCTTTTGCCTCTCCCCTTACTGTGTTACCACTGTTCAGTTTTGGAAGCAAGGACTAACGATACAAAATAGGAGAATCGGATCGGATCTAATCGGCCGTAAAATATCCGAATGAACGGAAAGAAGGCGCGTGGTCATTTGCGTGTCTCGCGCGTTTCGCCAGATACAAGATCCTAAGTTATCCAGGAAGGAAGACTAATTTGTTTTGTGTGCGGCGCTTTTGCTAGAAAAGTGCTTCGAATAGCGCTTTCCACTAATGACGTCACAAATTTCTGGTCCCTGCTGTGACGCAGACATTAAACCTGACCAGTTTAAGAGTTTAATTAGCCTGCAAACGACAGACGTTTCTCCTTGCTCATCGCCGCTGAGGGACGTGTCGCGAGGAGAAACGTTCCTCCTCGCTAAACGTTCCTCAGCAGCGATGAGCGAGGAGAAACGTCTGCCGTTCGCAGGCTAGAGTTTAGTATGGGAAAGTCACTTTCGGCAACAAATTTTCGTCGTCTTTGAAGATTTTTATCGTTAAAGGAAACAAAATCCAGCTTGGTTTCGATAATAAATATCCTGAAAATAGTCAACGCGTTCCAAGACAACGTTAAACATGGAAAAAAATGTACAGATGAGTGGTTTTTGCCTAGTTCCTGTACGGCGTCTTTTCAGGCCCTCTCGGTCAATGCATTTCGGTGCGGTGACATTAGCCTGCGTGGCAGGCGCAAAAAGGGGAGGGAGAGGGGGGAAGGGAGAAAAGCACGAAAGAGGGGAAAGGGAATCCCTCTTTCCCTATCCCCTACCCCTTTCGACGCCTGCTACGCAGGCTAGGTGACGTATCCGAGACGAACGGCCGGGAGACGCCTAGACAATCTCGGAGTGCGCATGAGTGAGCATTTTTGAAAATTTTTCCACGTTCAACTAAAATAATCTATAAATACCTTTGCGTGTGAAAATCCTTCGCTTAAAGATCGGCACTAACCTGGCTTCTCAATTTCAAAGCAAGACAAGGTGATATATGCGAGTAATATTATCAGTCACGCTATGTCTGGACGTATTGAGAGATTTCGTACGACAACAGGATGGCAAAGGAATATAATTTAAAAGAATTGAGTTCATTGTTTGAAGAGAAACTGTCAGAGAGGTCGGGTCTTGTGAAGAATGTCAAAGCCGCGGAGTCAGTTCTCAGAGAGTTTGAAACAACCACCACTACGAGATACGCCTGTTTCAAAGCAAGTAAAGGATTTGGGAACACAGGTAAGGTGCTTCCTATTTTATTCATGATAGCGTGCAACCGCTGATGTGGCAAATCGAGGAGACCTTGCGCTTCTTGAATATAAACTCCGAGGAAATATCAAATATACAGCTCTATGATATGCGTATTTAGGCTGATCAATCGGGTCAACTTCAAATTCTTATAAAGCAGAGTTTAAGTGTTTAAATGTAATATAAATTATTTCTTCAAATAATTAAGGGAAATGAAACGTATTTGTGTACGTAGAAGACAATAAAATGAGGGTAGGAGTAAGCAGAAGGTTTAGGGAGGGTGTGTGGTTGAGTTCACAAGTGAACTGCAAGATCAGAAAAAGCTCTGGTTTCCCATCCAGCAATGAACATTTTAAGGGAGAACAGGTTAATAGTAACAAGCAGGAGCCCATGGGCTCCTGTAACAAGGTCTCTTAGTTCAAAGTGTAGGGAAATGCTTCAACATTGGCAGTGGCGGATCCAGGGAATCCTTATTTTACACCAAACCGAGGCCCGAAGGACCGAAAAAAAATTTGTTTGAGTCCGCCCACCCCTCTTCTCTAAGGGTCTGGATGACCACCCCCCCCCCCTTATCTGAAGGTCTGGATCGGCCACTGATAGGGTTTCTGTCTATTGACAGATATTAAATCGCACAAGCACAAAGTGTTATGGGAAGACGGTAGCCTGCGTTTTGACCACATCCCATTTGTTGTGGTAAATCACAAAGTATGCGACTGTCAGCATGGTGTAGACAGACATGTGAGAGAGAAAAAAAGAAATCAATCGGTTAGTTTATTTTTCACATCGATTTTCCAATTTTCGCTTGTACCTCCGCCTGACATGTTTGTGTTCTTTCCTGAAGGGTGGTGACCATGCTTATCGAAAAAATGGAGCTGGCAAACTTCTTCAAGAGTCTAGAAAGCTCAATTGTCCTGCACAGGTACATTTAAGAGAGATCATCAAATTCCCAGAGTACAAGGTAAATACCAACAACAGTAATGCACCTATCAATGTAAACCCCGTGGGGGGGGGGTGGGGGAGTGCGGGCAAAGGGTGGGGATTTGACAAATTTTAAAATTTTTCGATCAAATTCCCCAGGGTGGGAAACGAAAGGTCAATCAAAAGTGTCAAAAAAGCCCCCACCCCAGGGGAAAAAATCTAAACAAACAATACTATAATACTATATAAAACGACTAAAAGAACATTTCAAAAGTATGTTCTTACTACTTTTATTTAAGGTTAACGTAAACTCCGTAAAGTAACTCGCTGTAATTAGGGACTGTGCAATAATTATCAGGAGGGGGGGGCTGAAAAACTAGATTTATCTAGCAAAAACTTAGATAGTACCCCCCTCCAAAACAAAAAAAATTAGTTCTAACCCCCCCTCTGTTATGTTAAAAATTACGTCGCACCCCGCCCCCCCTCCCAACACACTGGTAAACTCAAAACTGGACTGAGCTGCCATCACAGTTTTAATAATGACAAACGTTATTATGTAACATCTAGTATATCGAGAAGGATGTTGATCGCTTGATTGAAGATTTAGACAAAGCATTTGCTAAGTACCGGGGTGCTTACCACATTGGCTCGAAATCTAAAATTTCTGAAGCCAGAAAGAGGAAGGAGCAGAGAAAAAAATCAAAGAACAGGAGATTGAACGCTTCAAATAACAGACGAAAAAGAGCTTGCATTATATTTAGATCCTTGCGAGGAGAGCCTGTTGAACTTTGTTATGAGCGACATATATATGGAATTCAGCAAATCGATTCAGTCGATGAAGAAACATTACTTTTATTCACATCAAAAACCGACAAAGCTTGTCTACGAGAGCTGTTTGATTCCCATTGTTTTATGGGGGAAGCTGAAAAACAAGTTCATGATTTTTGCTTTACATAGGATCAGCTCAATTAATTAGAAGACGATTCATGACGGGTTAAAATTGATCAGTTGTGAATCTGCTTTTCATTTTGATGGAATATTTTCAATAATCGTTTAACAGCTGTTCGTGTTGATATTTGTTACAGTCTATCATGATGCGTGTATTGAGAATCTTTTATTGCGTTTAATTTTATTTACATTTCGAATAAAACTTAAGGTCCCCCCTCCGTCAAATGAGTGATTTTACTTTGAGCCCCCCCTATCTTGGCAGCAATTTTATGTAATGCCCCCCCCCTCCTGATAATTTTTGCAAGGTCCCTTAAGTATTTTCTCTCTCCACTAGCATCTCTTATTTTGAACAACATAACCACTCCAGGAAGATTGACCGTGCTACTATAATATTAATGAAACGTAAAATGCTTTATAACATCTGCTCAACATGTGGGAACAGGTCGGATCAGTGACCCGTAAAAAATCCTCTGACTTTCATGGTGGAATTCGATTTCAATCGAGTTTTACAATCAGATGGGAACTTGAAGATAAAAACTTTCTCAAAATAGACATTATCTGTTTAGATGACAGTTTAAAGTATCGGATTATGGCGATTAAAACAAATGAAAACTTCATACCTTTCTCCAACAGCGTGACTTTCAGAAAGCCTCGAGGGACAAATGTCCCGACCCCGGGGTCGCTTCGCAAGATCAAAAGCCCGACAGGGGGATAGTCTCAGGCATCAAATCCCCGCCCCTTGCCTGCACTCCCCGCCCCCCCCCCCCCCCCCCCCCCCCCCCACACACACACACACGGGATTTACAATGATCGGTGCATGATTACCGTGGATTACAAAATTAACCTTATAGAATGAACCTCTCATTAAGCTGCGTTTTTTGCGCTTTTATATTATATAGATACCAGAAAAGACAAAGTGGCGTTGTAAGAGCCTGTCCAAGAAGTTACGACAGGCCATAGAAGAAGGCACAACAAAATGTGAAAGATGGATCCATGTACATCTTCCATCGGTCGATGGACATACGGTTCACCCAACTGGAGACGTAAGCGTTTTAAACTTTTATCTGTTCAACGTTTTTGATTATAATTTGCACGTGGGAGGTGCTTTTACATGTAATAGTCAATAGCCTGTTTTTAATCCGAAAATATCTTGCCAATATTGTTTTGTTTTATTCATTGTTCTTTGGTAGGCCGGCGGTCTCGATCAGCGAATCCACTGAAGGCTGGTGACCAAAATTCAAGAGCTCGTTTCTGCAGGCGTAAGATCTGAGAAGGAGGTTCGTCGGCACCTTAAGATTTTTGTCCAGCGGGAGTTTTATCGAGAAAAACAAGAACCTCTGAAAACCAACCGACGGTTCTATCCCTCCAAAGCGACCATGCGCAGCCATATTTACAAGTCAATTGTTAAGGAAAGGTTCTCAAAAATTTGACTAGGAAGACCTTTTAAGGAAAGTAGAGCTTTGGAAAAAAACCTCACCCGATGATTCTTTCGCATATCACCCATACGCCACCTAGGCCAGTGAAGAAGAAAGTACGCGACCTGAAGCAGACAGTTACGGAGAGTTTGACTATGAGGGGCAGGATGAACGAATTATTAAGAGCGAATCCATGCAAAAATCGACCAAAATCGCCGATTCGTGGCAAGGTTCAAAAAATCAAAATCGCTCTTCTTTTGCAGACTGGTAGACTTTAGTAAGTGTACACACGCTACGTAGTTTTTCCTTCGAAAGATCTGTTCGTTTCCGAGAAAAAACGAAGAAAAGCGTTTCAAGCCCCACCGTCAATTTCGCAAGCCGAAAACAGGGTTGAAATTCATCATGATTCGCTGGACTCGCGTTCCAATACAGCCGCGCTAGGAAAAAAAACTTGTTGCTAAAATTTTAAGTTTAACTCGTCGTTGATCAAAATATATAATATTTTTAGCATTACAACAGTCTGAGTAATTATAAAAAAGATAAAGCGTACGGCTACCTGATGTTTAGCCACGAAAGGTCGTTAAAAACAGCGACGATTTTCATAATGTGCCTTTGATCAGAATTTTTTCAGATTGAAGGGAAATACACTGCAGGCATCAAACATTTATGTTATGTAAAAATTATTTTGAGCTTCTCAGAAATTATTTGAAAATCGTTTTACAGACAACTTAAAGTAACGCCATCTTTAACATATGCGTGACCATCGTCAGTCGACCAGGCAAAGGTCATAAAACGTGTCTCCTAAAAAGTCTTGGTAATATTCACGCACAAAGTTATAAATGTTAAAGTACTTACCCTATTATTTGTTTCAGGCCTAGTTTTACAGCAAAATGTTTTCCCGTTGCCATCTGTTCAAGTTTGCCATCTATATTAAACTCGGTTTGAGACTCAACCAACACGCATGCTTTCTAACGAAGTTCGCTTAGTAAACACGTAGTGAACCCTCTCTTCCTTATCTGTCAACAACTTTTGTCTCAAAATGCTGCTAGACACCGCAGAAGGAAGCGCCAATCTGAAGGATAAGGCGCCTATTCGAACGCTTGTGACTCAGGATGCAAATTACTTTCAACAGTAATATCAGATTACAGCAGTCAAGATCCCGGAGCCCGGGGTCTGGAACCGCAAAAAGCAGGCGAAAAGCAAACGTAAAACATGCGTATAATATAACATTTTTGAAAATCAAGAATTTTATTGGTAGCCTCGCTGAAGATTTACATTGCTTCGAGACGTTGGCATTATCAAAACAAAAGATGTTTTAACTAAAAATTGTGTACATGTTTTCTTCCCATCTTCACAGGTGGAACTTCCAGTTGTTGGTATCCTCGGAGACCCAGGGGCAGTTAGTCGGGTCAATAAAATGAGTTGTTGGCTTCACGTGGGTAATCCTGGCCTGCACGTGCGTTATTTCAAAGTGCCTTCTTAGTAAAAGACAAATGTAATTTCAGCTGCATGTGCTAAATGTCACTTTTCGTGAATTGAATTAACATTCTGCAAGTGCATCTGCTGCTGAGCTTGAAGTCGATGACTTCGTCATTCGCCATAATATCCCCACACGTTGTCTTGAATGAGGTACAAGTCAGTCGTTTGAAGTAAATGTAAAATAATAATAATAATAATAATAATAATAATATTAATAATAATAATAATAATAATAATAATATTAATAATAATAATAATAATAATAATAATAAGCGACAACGACAAATGCCATCAGAACTGGACTAAGATCTTTAAATTAAAAAAAAATATATTTACTCTGGGGGAAATAGGGTTTCATTTCAAACTAAGAGAAAAACTGAAAGGTTTATTTTATCGGACAGATTAGGTGGATTGGTACCGTACCCGGGAGACTCTGGGTTATATCTAAGAGAGGTGCAATTGACAACTATGATAACTTTATACAGTAGGTATTCGTGGATTGATTAGAATATAATACAGTGAATAAACCAAGAGTACCTGAACCTACAGGAATGAGGATACCGGTTTGCTGATAGATATATTCTGAAATGTTCTTCCTCTAACTCTTTTGTCGGCTTTAACAGGTTTCCTTCAGTCTTTCAATATGTGATTGGCGCTTTCCTTTGGAACTTGGCACGAATTGGAATAACTGTTCTGTCGCCATCCAATACCGAGCTCAGAACGATGGAAGGGGCATATATTAAGGCTAAGGAAGGTCCTATTTTGGAGAAATGGGTGTTGAGTATATTACTGATTTAGATGGGGTCGGTACTTACAGTATCCCCAGTGTCCAGCTGAGTTATCTTATTGAATTTAGGTTCATTGCCAATTAGTCTATTAATTCCTTTCCAAGTATTCTTTATGTTTCTGCGATTATCTTTGAAGAAGGCATTGTAATAGTTCATTTTAGCATTCTTTATTTCATAATTAACCTTATTCTTCATGTGTTTGTAAAAAGTCCAGTGCCGGCTTCAC